CGGACCCCGCCCCGCCCCCGCGCGGACCCCGCCCCGCCCCCGCGCGGACCCCGCGCTCCTGCCACTCAAGCAGTGTCTGTTGTAGGAAGTGGAGCCAAAAAGAAAAAAAAAAAAAGGAAGTTAATTTAGCACAACCGTCTGCCGGGGAGGAGCGGCCGGTGGGCACCCCTGGAACGGAAACGGTTAGAACAACTTTGCACCCTTCTCAAAGGAAACAGATCATAAATCGTTCTCCGTGGAGCCGGGGGGCGGCGGGGGGGGGCTCTTGTTTCTCAGGAGTCCAAAGCCTCCTGCGGTTTCATTTACCTGCCCACCCCCCAGCAGCTAGGGTCTGGGTTCGCCTCTGGCCACAGCCGCGGCGGAGGGAGGAGTTTATCTTCCCACTTCAGTCCTTAAAGTGGGTGGAAACAAAGAGATGGTTGCTATCTCTTCCCAGCAAAGAAAACTAGCCCCCAGCAGTTCTGGGGCGGCCAGGGGGTGGGCTGGGGCGGGGAAACCTACGTCTTTCGATGGTTTATAACTCAATTCAGGCCCTGAAACCTAAACTGCCCCCTACATATTGGCTTGTGTGTAAGGTAGATAAAGTACAAGGCCCATTTGAGTGGCTGGGTGGGGAAGTGGAGGGTGTGGGGGGGCTGGTCTCCCCGGGTTTTCAGCTCCAGAGACCTGAGAGAGAGACGGCGAAGCACGGGCCCCACTTGTGACTGGGCCCAAAGCTGTGACTTGAATCTCTAGACGCTTACGAGGCTTCAGGCAGCTCTGTTTGCAAAGACAAAACAGAAACCAACCGTCCTGGCTCTGGGAATGCACACGGGCTAGTGGTGGGAGATAGGGAGATAGGGATTCTCAGAGCTCTGTCAACACTGAGTTCTCCCAAAAATCTTTGTTAAAAAGGCCAAGAGGTAGAACTTTGTCCAGAGCTTTAGCTCTACTTTCCTGAAATTTCTCCTTCCTTTCCTTCCCTGATACCCAACCCCCTCCTCTTCTGCTCTGTTTCCTGTTTCATTTTCTGGCTCCGACTCCAACAGGAAAACCAGGAAGCTGAATCTTGTGTTCTCAAAGCCTTCACACCCTGGCTCTTCAGACTGGAAGGTGGCAGGATGGGATGGGAGGGGTTTCTAGGGCTACAAGGCTGAGTGAGAGGTGAGAGAGAGACCGTTCTTGCTCTCTACAGTATGCTTTTAGAGTCTGCAGCTAAAATGGTGCCTGCATCAACTGAGAAATGTGGAAAGCAAGGGAGCCAGCCATGGTTCCAGAAAGACTACACCTCACAGTTGCTCCTATTAAAAGCAAATGCATATACCACTAAGAACCAGTTTCATACTACAAATCCCTAATCTGAGCAATAGAAAGCATTAAGATTCCTAGAATCTTAAAAATTCGAGAGGATTACAGTACTTTTGTTCTTTGAATTTGCCTGGCTGTACTCTAGCTATTTCCTCTACTTGAAACACTACTATCACTATCCTTTGGCCAGTCTCAATAGGGATGATACTTTCACGGACTACTCTGCTACAACTGCCACCTGGTGCTAGCCCATTCCCCTATTCAGTGGGTGTTTTCTTCACAAAAGCATTCTCAACTTGGAATAGTGCCTTAGGCAGGGGATGTAACTCAATGATGGAGCCCAGGGTTTGATCCCTAGCTCCACAAAACAAACAAAACAAAGTAACTCGGTGCCTTGCACATTGTGTGCCTACAAAAAAGATCTGGCAAAGTCAATCTAACCTGATACTTTTATTTTATAGGCTCACAAAGGGGAAGTAAAGGTCCTGAAGTCAAGAAGATGGTGGTGAGGAAATTTGAAGTCAGGTTTTTAGCCTTCCAGGCTAGTTCTATAACCACATGTTATTTTAACAATGCCCAGATATAATCCTTTCCTTCTCTTCTCTCCCCGCTCCCCACCCTTCCCCCGCCCATCCTATATTAGGTCTTAATAGCACCTACCTATCCTTTTCTCCATTAAATTCCATATCTTATTTGACTTATTCAACAATATAAGAATGCCTACTAAGTGATAGAAAATAGGGATGTACTATTGAGCAAGATAGGCTTTGCCCTCACAGGATTATGGTCCTTGGCATAAAGTGCTCTTTAAAGATGGGCTGGATGGTTTTTGGTTTTGTTTTTTGCCAGTTCTCCTTGAACTTGGCCTGGGCATGGTCCCTGAGCTGTTTTTGCTCAAGGCTAGCACTCTACCACTTGAGCCACAGCACCACTTCTGCTTTTTCTGTTTATGTGGTGCTGAGGAATGGAACTCAGGTCTTCAGGAATGCTAGGCAAGCACTCTACCGCTAAACCACATTCCAGCTCAAGGATGGGCTGTTTTAACTCCATGAACAGAAAAGAGGGAGAGGGAAGTGGTAGAAGAATTAGGGAATTCTCATGGACAATACATTTCTCAGCAACAGTCTGATCACTCATACCTCTTTGAAATTGACTGCTTCCACATCAGAAGGCCTTGGCTTCAGGCCCAGAGGACAAACAGCCCAGCATGTGTGTGTGTGTGTTCCCACTGGTTTAGTTTCCAGACACTAAACTTTCCACAATTCCTATCTTAAGGGATTGGAGTAGGTGACCTTAATGTTGGGTGTTGGGTCCGAGGCCATATTCTTTTTTTTTTTGGTCCAGTCCTGGGCCTGAACTCTGGGCCTGGGCGCTGTCCCTCAGCTCTTCAGCTCAAGGCTAGCGCTCTACCATTTGAGCCACAGTGCCACTTCCGGCTTTTTTTCCCGCTTATGTGGTACTGAGGAATTGAACCCAGGGCCGCATGCATGCAAGGCAAGCGCTCTGCCACTGAGCCACCTTTCATATTCTTGTGGACCAAAAGTAGCCACAATGGCTTCTGATCCTATCAATTGTTAGTAAGCTAGACTAATACCATGATGGTAGCAGCTGTGCTTTACCAACACTTCATTACTTTTCATCGTAGATAAAATAGGTAACACTTATATCCTTCCTCATATGTAAAGCAACACCAATTTTAGGTCTTCAACATTTAGCAAAAGAGCATCCATTCTTGATCTGGACAAAGATCACTGGATGTTTATCTACTCCAGGTCAAATACCTTTCCCTGCTTCCAAGAACAGGAGTCAATCTCTAGTGATTCAAAGTCTATGGACACTCTTAACCAGTCTTCCAGTAGTAAGAAATCCTTCAGCTCCACTGAGACGCCTGGTGGGAAGGCCTTAGCCACTCAGGAGTGGCAGTGGCTGCCAGTAAAAGAGCCAATGAGGGTGAGTATATTGTTTAGGCTAGACTTGGCTGCTGTCCAGCCATGAAAGAAGGTTAAGGTCATTTGTGGGTTGGGGAGGGAGGAGCCTGGGAAAAGAACTACTGGACACACCCCTGGGTTCTCTACTGGCAAGGTTCTATTTACTTCTCAAAGGCAAATTACTCACAGCTCAGTGGTTAGCAGTTCTTTTGCCCTTGGTAACTGCAGTTAGAAACTAGAGACCAGGCTTAGGCTCCTCTGCATTGCAGGAGAGCAGATGAAAGGAACCAAGGAAACCAAACTCCTAGGTAATGCTTCACACACAGCCCAGAAATGCACTTTCTAGATTAGAAAATGGGAGCTCAAGAGGCCCATAGCAAAAATACCCATCAGCAATATTGCTTACCAAAATGTACATATGAAAAGTTTTCCATTTTGCTTTTTTCCAGAAAAGGCCTACAAAGTCATCTTGGTTGACAAAGGATTTCCCCTCTGAATAGAGAAATACTATTCATTCCAGTACCTGACCAAAATATTAACAGCCACATGTAGTTTGATGAGCAATTGGTTGAAATTCTTTATCTTGGATGCCAAGTACCGTCCCCCCCAAAAAAAAAAAAAAGCAACAGACACATACACACAAACACCTTGCTTGCTTTGGATTCAATTACTCCTTGATATCCTCTCATCTAGACAGGACAAGCAATATGATACACTGGGAATGGGAAAAGCCTGGGACTTAGTTGGCATTTAAACAAACAAGCCTTCTACACCCCTCAGCCTATTTCTTCAACTGTAAACTGACATCACACAGGGCAGTTGTAGGATTACTTTGTCTTGCAGTATATAAAAACATCTCAGCCACTCACCAGTAGCTCACTCCTAGAATCCTAGCTGCTTAGGAAGCTGAGATCTGAGGATTGCAGTTTAAAACCAGCTCAGGCAAATAAATCCGTTAGATTCTTTTTTTTTTTTCTTTTTAAATTTTATTTTGTGAACATACTGTACAGAGGGGTTACAATTGCATGGGCAGGATAATGCGTACATTTCTTACCAAGCATTGCATCCTCCTCCTTTGTTTACCCTTCACATCCCTTCCCAGACTCCCCCCTCCCCCCTGTTAGATTCTTATCTCCAATTAACCATTCAAAAACCAGAAGTGGAACTATTGCTCAAAGTAGTGGAGTGCTAGCCTTGAGCAAAAGTGCTCAGGGACAGCACTCAGGCCAAGTTCAAGCCCCACAACCAACAAAAAATAAAAATAAAGAAAAACATCTCAGAAGCTGTTACCTGTAATCCTAGCAATGCAGGAGGCTGGGATCTGAGGATCAAGGTATAAGGCCAGCCAGGCAGAAAAGTACATGAGGCTTTTATCTCTAATTAATCAGCAAAAGGCCTGAAGTGGTAGAGTGCCAGCCTTGAGTGAAAAAGCCAAGCTAGAGCACAAGGCCCTGAGTACAAACCTTAGTACTCACACACACACAAAAGCTGGGCGATGGTGGTTCACGCCTGTAATCCTAGCTACTCAGGAGGCTGAGATCTGAGGACCATGGTTCAAAGCCAGCCAGGGCAAGGAAATTCTTATTTTGTTGTTGTTGTTGTTGTTGGTCGTGGGGCTAATTCTTATTTTTTTTTGTTGTTGTTGTTGTTGGTCGTGGGGCTTGAACTCTGGGCCTGGGCTCTGTCCATGCACTCTTCAGCTCAAGGTGAGTGCTCTACTGCTTGAGCCACAGCACCACTTCTGGTTTTCAAGTGGTTTTATTGGAGATAGAGTCTCACAGGGCTGGGAAGGTGGCTCAGTGGTAGAGCGCTTGCCTTGCATGCCTGAGGCCCTGGGTTTGGTTCCTCAGGACCACATAAGAGAAAGGAAGAGCCGCAAGTGGTGCTGTGGCTCAAGTGGTAGAGCGCTAGCCTTGAGTTGAGCTGAGGGACAGCGTCCAGGCCCCACAACCAGACTCCACCCCCCCAAAAATAAAAAAGGTCTCACATACTTTCCTGCCCGGGCTGGCTTTGAACCATGATCCTCAGATCTCAGCCTCCTGAGTAGCTAGGATTACAGGCGTGAGCCGCTGGCGCCCCACTTGCAAGGAAATTCTGAGAGACTCTTATCTCCAATTAACCACCAGGAAACCAGAACTGGCACTGTGGCCATTGTGGTAGAGCCTGTGCCTTGAGCTGAAGAGCTAAGGAACAGCACCCAGGCCCAGAGTTCAAGCCCCACAACTGACAAAATAAAAAAAAATACAATGGGCCAGAAGCTAACCCTAAGAAAGAAAAGGGAAATAAGGCAGAAAAGCAGATTGCTATTTTAAATAAGGTGACCAGGAAGATTTTTTTTTCCCCCTTTGTGATAGTCCTATGACTTGAACTCAGGGACTGGGCTCTGTCTTTGAGCTTGCTCATCACTTTTCTTTGTTTTTGGTCGTCATGGGGCTTGAACTCTGGGCCTGAGCACTGTCCATCACTTTCATTTTTTGATACTGGGGATGGAATTTGAGCCTGGTGTATATTAAACATGTGTTCTACATCCACAGGACATTTAAATGGCAACTTGAAGATGGGAGGTCTTCAGCATCTATTTATCTGATCAAAGAGTATTCTATGTAGAGGGAACTGCAAGTACAAAGACCCGAGGTGGAAACGCTCCTGTGTGGTAGAGTGAGCAATGTGGGGATAAGATACGGTGCTGGGAGGGGAGCAGCCAGCTAGATAACTGAGGGTCTAGTATGCCATTTTAAGGCCTTGGACTGTGACCTGAAGTAAGAACGAAAGATGTCATTCTGGTTGCTGTACCAAGAGCAGGTTTAAGCAGGCAAAGAAAAGCAGAAAAGCTAGTTTGGAGCTTATATCTCAAACTATAGTGTGTGGGAAGGTGCTTGAAGATTTTCTGGAGGATAGTAAATGGATATGGAAATGAATCAAGGATTTTATTTTGGCTACGCAATGGAAGGTTAGACTTTCTTCTACTAAGAAAACAAGGTACTTTAGCCTTTACGTGTTCGAATTAATTGGGGATGTCAAGAGCATCTGAATAGTCTGGAATTGGAAAAGAGCCAGTGTGGTGATATAAACGATTGAGATGGAGGGTACCTTCAAGTAAATAAATGAATACTGTTTTTGTTTTTGCTAGTCCTAGGGCTTGAACTTGAGCCTCGGCCCTGTCCCTAAGCCAATTTGTGCTCCAGGCTAGTGTTCTACCACTTGAGTGACAGTGCCAATTCTAGCCTTTTCTGAGTAGTTTATTGGAAATAAAGTCACATGGACTTTCCTACCAGGGCTGGCTTCAAAGCAAGATCCTCAGATTTCAGCCTCCTAAGTAACCAGGATTATAGGCATGAGCCACCAATGCCCAGCAACTTTATTGTTAATAATTCCTAAGAAAACAGAGCCTACCTTTACCATTTCCAAAAGTTTTATTTTCCCCAAGCTATGAATTATTTCATTATATATTTTAAATCCAGAACTTACTCTTTGAGGCTAAATAATCTCAGAGATTTCTTAAATTTAAACTTACTGTGCAGATTACAAGTAGAATATGGCTGGGCACGAGCAGCTCACACTTGAGATCCTAGCCACACAGGTGGCTGACACTGGAAGGCTCAAGATTTGAAACTAGCCAGGGCCAAAAAAGTCCCTGAGACTCCATCTTTAAATAACCAACAAAAAGCAGTGATGGGGGGGGGAGGGGGGAGAGGATGGGAAGGGTTAACAAAGGAGGAGGCTGCAATGCTTGATAAGAAATGTACTCATTATCTTGCCCATGTAATTCTAACCCCTCTGTACAGTATTTTCACACACAAAAAAAGTAACAGAGGCATGGCCTAAGTAGTAGAACACCAGCTAAGCAAGCAAGACAAGGAAGCACAAGGTCCTGAACTCAACAGGTGGGGGCAGGCAAAGGAAGGGAAGGGATATGGAAAATAAATAGGGTCAAGAAGGCACCATTTAGGAGAGAGCACACTAAGAACAGCACTAGTGCTCACCCTCCCCTCCAAAGGTCAAGCCTTTAAATAAAGACAATAAAAAGTCTCACAAAAGTCTTACCAAGATTTAATGTACATTTATTCTTAACACGTGGAACATATAGTATAAAGATTTCATACTGAATAAATGATATTCATTAAGCCAAAAAAGGAAAAAAAGGAGGAATTTACATCAAGTTTTAGCTACATTGTTGAAATACAAATATGCAGATTTTATCACTGAAAAAATCTCAATTGTGTTTCTTCATCAGGAACTTCAACTGAACCTAGAACTTTTTCACACCTCGATTAGAAAGAAAAACAAAACAAAACAAAAACCCAGAAAAAAATAAACTATAAGTTGATTGGCTGCTGAGACAGCAAGGACTTTTTACAGAGACCTGTACAGCATCGCACCAAGAAGGGCAATGTCTGGCAAGAGATTAAATAGCTGTGTCTCGCTTTGTGCAGGTCACCAACTTGTTAACTCGTCATACTATAAAGGGGTAGCTGGGAGAGGGACCAAACTGTGGGGATCCAAGGGTATGTGCAATGTACAACATCATATATATACACGAGTGGCAGCGCGGCCGCTGCAGCTAAAGGTTAAAACCAGTTCTAGGAGGTGATCTCAGGGTTATTCATACAATCAAGGAGGAGAGAAAGAGGTCAGGGTGTTGTAGGTTCACACATGATACTTTGGGGGAAAAGCCTTTTTTTTTTTTTCTCCTCAACATTTAACTAAAAACATTTTTAAAAACTACAGCTTGCTGCTGACCCAGCGTCTTCTCTCGTTTCCATGTGAGACGTTATTATTACAGTATGTTTACAGTATCAGGTGTACAGTACAGTACATGAAAGGGTCTACACTCTACTGCACAGGCCTCTCCAGTGAACAGGGTATGCTCACAACTGCGAACTTCTCGGCTCCTGCGAGATTGTGAATGTACAACACACAGTTCAGCAGTCACCTTTTTGTCTTTCAGAGTTTTTTTTGTATTTTTTCCTTTTTTTTTTAACCATTAAAAACAGTTATGAAATGTGGCATCCCGTTGATGCAAGGACCGGGAAAGCCATTTTTATTTTTTATATTTTTTTCCCCAAACTCACTGTAAACAACAGTAACTTTGGTTAAAATAAAAAAAGTCTTCTATGTAGGCAGAGCTTTGTCTTTTCAAATAGGGTAGGGTCCTGAGGGGGGGCAAGGTGAGGATGAGGAAAAGAAAGGTGTGAGGGGGAGAGGAAGGAGAGAAACAGGAGAGACATTTTCCCAAGGGAGAAGCTGGACAGCATAGGGTAAACTGGATTCTGAGGTGGTTTTGCATAAATAAAGGGCAACAGTCAGTTTCTAAGTTCTCCACACACGCACACACACACAGGGAGGGGAGATGTCCCACGGCTGTCATGACTGGCCAATTAAAAACAGTACATCACAAATGACTTGTGAAACCAATGAGTTCATCAGTGGTGACACCGAGATGTCCAACAGCCTTGACTCATACAGAGTGAACTCTGAGTGGTTCTCATCCACCTTGGCCAAGGCTAGCAGCGCACGCGCAGCACGCCGCATCATGTCCACACTAGTTGGCTCAAAGGGTGGGTTCTGCATGTGGAGGAGGCTGGCTTGGCTCTGCTGAAACTGTGTGGCAGCAAGGCTGTCCTCAAGGAAGCCTAGGAGGTTGCCGATGCTGCCCTTCTGCACTGCGATGGCACGGGCTGCCAGGCTGTCCCCCTGTGCCAGGTTGGCCAGCAGTACCACGGCCATCTCTCGGCACACTGGGTTCTTTCGGTCACTGAGGAAGCGCACCATGGTGCTGTACAACTTCTCCAGACGGCTGAAGGGGGGTGTGGCCAGGATCAGGTCCACATTGTTGTCCTGGATGCTGAGTTTGCTGAGGGTTTCTAAGACCAGTCTCTGGGGGGAGAGGACGGCATTGGGGCCCAGGGTGGAGAAAGGGTCCTGGGCTTCAGCTGAAGGGCAAACTGCCCAGTGTAGGAGTCCGTCCAGGACAGGCAGGCAAATGCTTTCAGGATATGGGGATAAGTCCAACTGCCCCGAGATGTTGGCCAGTGTGACCAAAGTATTTTCCCGGAGCATCTCCAAACAGTCCCACCACCACTCAACTTTGTTACAGCTCACCCCTTGGTCCTGTTCCTCCTCTTTCTCATAAGTCAGTGGTGCCTGCTTCCGTTCTGGGTGCTTGTGGTGCAGCAGGATTAGCTTGCCCAGGATAAGCAGCAGCCCTGGGTGTTTAGACATCTCAAAGTCGTTGCCTGGCACAAATGACAGGCTTCGGATGGTATTGGAGACACACACACAGCGCTTGGCAAGGGAATCCTGCCAGTCCAGAAGGGTACACAGTGGGGTCTCGTCCTTACTGTGGGGCTCATCTTCTAGGATCTTGATGTTCCGGTGGCTCTGTGCTGGACTGATGCCAAATGGAAACTTGCTGCTTTCCTTGGTGGCCTCTGCACTCTTAACTCCCTCCTCGTTCAATGTGCTAGAGCGGGTGGACAACATATCATCCATAGTGGCTGTGATCCGTTTTTCTGGTGGGCCATCAGGAGGGGGCCCTTCCTGTTCTGTCGTCCCTACTGTGCCCTCTGTGATGACATGTTTCCGGGAGGCTGTGGGACATGGCACATGAAGCCGAGAAGGCAGCAGTTCTGTTTTGCTCTCAAAGTGGGTCTGGATATGCTCAGTGGTGTCCCCACCACCAATCCGCCAGTGTAGCAAGCCACTGTCAAACTCCTGCACACGCCCAAGCTTATCTGAGCAGTCCACCACAAATGGGTCATTCTTTTGTACAATCTTTACTGGAAGCTTGTCAAACTTGCTGACTAGCTTCTCCTCACTATTCTCTGAAGCTGGCTTGTCCTTGCTCAAAAAGGCCATCTCCTCATCATTTTCAACTACTTCTTCTTCCTCTTCCTCCTCCTCTAGTTTCAGACCTAGAAGTTCTTCTTCTTCCTCCCCCTCTGTGGGGGCTGGACTAGACACCTTACTGAATCTTCCAGGGTCCAGTAGTGTTCTTTGTCCTGGGTCACCCACCTCATATTCCTTTAAAATGCCAAAAATCTCAATCAGGCATCGACGGAAGTACTCCACAAGGAGCTCTAGCAACCCTGGGAGCTGAAAGATAAATAAGAAACAAATTAAGAGAGGAAAAGTAGCTTCAGGACTCCTGCCCCAGCTCTATTAATCCCCTCTTTCCTTGTAGGGGCACATTTGTATCACGAGCTAGGAGAGGCTCCTTTCTCAAACACTTCGAAAAAGCAAATCATTTTATCTCTCCTACTTTTTCCTTTGCAAAGAAAGAGCATCAAGCTCTTTCTTCTGCCCAAACAACTATGGCATACACCTGTCCCCATCAGTATGAAAACATGTACCATAGCTCTTCACTTCACCTACCAGTGCCACCCATCTCTCAATTTGTGAACCAATGTTCTTTGCCTTTATCCCTCCTTTACCATATACATCAGCTACATATAGCTAATGAATAAGTATGGTTGAGATGATGCCTTCAACGTAAGCTAAGAAAAGGAAACAATGTGGACAGATGTTCATGTGCTCTTTTTTCCAAGCTCCTCAACATTGCAGAAGAACATTGCTGTCCCTCCACGAATTCTGCAGCACAGTGAGTGGGATAAGCCTTCAGCTATCTAAATACTGATCTAAGCTTGTGGCTAAGAAGACACAAACTTCAGCCAGACCATAAACTTTTAGAAGAAAACACCAATCTCCAGTCAGTATTTGGTTGAATAGTATAGAAGAATGAAAAATAAAAAAAAGTTTTGGGCTGGGAAGGGGGTGGCTCAGTGGTAGAGTGCTTGCCTTGCATGCCTGAGGCCCTGGGTTCGATTCCTCAGCACCACATAAGCAGAAAAAGCTAGAAGTGGTGCTATGGCTCAAGTGGTAGAGCGCTAGCCTTGAGCTGAAGAGCTGAGGGACAGTGCCCAGGCCCAGAGTTCAGGCACCATGACTGGCACAAAAAAAAAAAAAAGAAAAAGAAAAAAGAAACCGGAATGCTGCTGGTTCACCCTTGTAATCCTATCAACTAAAGAGGCTAAGATCTGAGGACTGTTGGTTCGAAGCCAGCCTGGGCAGAAAAGTCCCCAAGAAACTCTTAACTCTAATATACCACCAGAAAACCGGAAGGGGTATTGTAGAGTCCTATTCTTGAGCAAAAGAGCTCAGGGACAGCGCCCAGGCCCTGAGTTCAAGACCCACAACAAAACTAAACAACAATAACAACAAAGTAAGCTTTAGAGCCAGAAAGACTTTGCTAGCAACAGGGTCAATTTGGGCAAGGATAAACCCCAAGCCTGCTTTCTCATTTCTAAATGGCCACATCTCCAGTATCTGAAGGATGCTGTGAAGATGACATGAAACAAAACATTAAGACTGGTGGAAAGTGAAAGCACTATTAAGTGGTAAATATTATTCCATTTTTTTTTTTGCTTATGTGGGGCTGAGGAATCGAACCTAGGGCCTTGAGCATGCAAGGCAAGCGCTCTACCACTAAGCCACCTTCCCAGCCCCGTAAATATTATTCCAATATCCTGCTAATCAGCTCTCTCATTAGCAGGTTGGTGGGTTCCAAGGAGGATGAAGAGCTAAGATGGGTCAGGTATAGTGGCATGAATGTGCAATCCTGGCACTTGGGAGGCTGGGACAGGATTGACACTGTGGACTATCATAGAGACCCTATCTCAGAGAGAGAGAGATAGAGAGAGAGGGAGAGAGGAACAGAGAGAAACAGAGGGAGAGAAGGAAGGAAGGAGGAAGGGAGGAAGATAAGGAGGGAGAGACAGAGAGAGAGGAAAAGAAAAAGAAGAAAAAAAGTTGGGTGTGGTAACTCATGCCCATAATTTCAGCTACTTAGAAGGCCAAGATAAGTAAGGGTCAATAGGAGGACTTTGGTCCAGGCAGGCAGGTCTAAGCATAAAATAATATCCTATCAGAAAAATAATGAAAATGAGGCTCAGTGGTAGGAAGCCTAACTAGTAGTACAGCTTGTTTTTTTTTTTTTTTTTTAAATAGGGTAAAACGGTTCAGCATTAAGTCTTTCCAGCTACTGGAATCAAGGCACGTATTTTACAGAAGAGAAGGGAGTTCTGAAAAAAATCAGGTTTGTAAAAACAGTAAAAAAGACTGGGTAGGGGCTGGGAAGGTGGCTCAGTGGTAGAATGCTTGTCTTGTATGCACGAGGCCCTGGGTTCCATTCCTTAGTACCACATAAGCAGAAAAAAGCCGGAAGTGGCGCTATGGCTCAAGTGGTAGAGCATTAGCCTTGAGCTGAAGAGCTGAGGGACAGCGCCCAGGCCCACAGTTCAGGCCCCACAACCGACAAAAAAAAAAAAAAAAGTCACAGCCTGGCCTGGTGCCAGTGGCTCATACCTATTCCTCATTACTCAGGAGGCTGAGATCTCAGGATCACAGTCCAAAGCCAGCCTGGGTTGAAAAATCCATGAGACTCATCTCCAATTAACTATCACAATGCTTGACTTGTGACTCAAGTGGTAGAGTACTAGTCTTGAGCAAAAAACCCCACCAAAACCAAAAAACCCTGCAGGAACAGCACAAAAGGCTCCAAGTTCAAGCTCTAGGACTGGCCCAATGACCCCTCCCCAGACAAAACAATACAAACCCACCCAACCAACAAATCAAAAACAGCTGCTAGGAATGGTAGTAAAAGCCTGTCACCACAGCATTTAGAGGCTGAGGCAGGAGGATCTTAAGTTTGTGGCCAGCCTGGGCTACACAGTAAGACCCTGTGTCCCACACCAATACAATACATGAAAGTAACCTGGAATCAATACAGACTCTTTTACTCGGAACAGAAGTAGCAAAAAGGGAAAGTAACAAAACTGTGCCATTCATATAATTCTAGACCATGGTCATCTTCACTGACATGAAAGGAGCTCTGCACTTCTAACTAACACCAGAAGTGTTTCTAAAACAAAATTCCCTTTGAAGTGAATTCTGCACTAAGATATCAACATGATCCCTTATATAGGCAATACTGCTCTCATTACCCTGGCTCACATGCCCAGTGTCAAGGGAAGACAAGGACTGGCATGGAAGATATCCAATCCAAGAGAGGGGAGAAAACTATGTTGCCTGAAAATGGCTTCATTTCCCATGATACTTAGTAATATCAAAGTCAAGAAGATCCCAAGATCTCCTAATTTCCCCCAGGAACCTGTACTCACCTGACTGAGGTTGAAGGTCATAATGCTGTTGTCATCATACAGTAGGATGTTAATGGTGTCTAATGCCCATGTGCTCTCTGCCAGGAGACCAGACTTGAGGGACATCATTACCCGCCATGCCTCCGGGGTTCCTGAAATAAACCTCCGTGTTGTCCATCCACCAAGCCCAAGTTGTCTAGAGATACCCACAAGGATCCCCTATCAGTTAGGCTACTCTGAAGTTAACACAAGGCAGAAAGCAGTTCCTATCAGGGGTGTCAGAGGAATGGCACACACACTTAGCCTGCCCTTCATGGCTTCTCAGCTCCCTAGAACATCACTGTAAGACAAAGCCTTAAAGGAAAACCTGAAACCTTAAAGAAAAACATTTCCCAGAATTCTTTGGCTCTATTTTAGTTACAACTGCACTAGACTTCATTCAGAGTATTAGGCTAGAGAGAATAATGAACAAGAAGGAAGGGGTAGATGAAGTAACTCAGCTGGGGAGATCTCCTTACCAATGTCTTTCATTGTGAGCCGCCTTCTCTGCTTCAACACAGGCTGTGTGGCTTCAACAGAGCCAGGTGGAAAGGTGATATCCCGCCGAATCATGGGGGGCTGCACAGGGGTAGGTGCTATGTGTGAGGCAGGTACTGGTGGACCTGCCTTTTGCATTTTCATCCCAGAGTGCAGGAATGGAGACTTGCTAGGAGAGGTGCGGTTCTCCATTGGCCGGGGCAGGGGAGCGGGGCTGGATACCTGAGGAATGTGATTCTGCATGCTTGGTGGGGGCTGATAGTTAGATGGAGGGGGTCTTGTCATGGGAGGCACGGGGGCAGAGGGGCCATATGGAGGCTGGCGTGTGCCATGGGAAGGCCATGGGCCTTCATGGTTGGCCCTCTGATCCGTGTGCAGCATTTCATCTGTTCGGTTCACACCATGATATGCAGGACCCTGGGGAGCAGAGCTTGTGCTCTGCCTGTTGGCATAATTATAGGTCATGTCATTACGCCCCTGCCACATGGTGCCTTGCTGAGCAACGTCAGCTGATGCCTGTATAGGACCACCCATCATCTGTGGTGGCATGTTCTGCTGGGCATTGGAGCCAGGGGGTGCAGAGACACGGTCTCGGCCAAACTGGAATGGAAACTGGTTCTGGGGGCCGCCTGCTGGTCGGCGCTCAGTTGCAGCGGTGGCAGTAGCAGGATAGGCATTGCTATACTGGTTGTACACATCTTGCTGAGGGGAAGGCTGGGCAGCTTGTTGCTGGCTGGCAGATTGGGACTGGGCTGGGGGCAATTGCTGCTGCTGAGGCTGCCCCTGCCCAGTGCTGTATGGCACACTGTACATCTCCCCTTCATGCCGCTTGGCAGGAGGACCATATGTGCCATCCATTGGCCGCTTATAATTCTAAGACAGAAAACAAAAGGTTAACGTTAATATTCTGCATTCAGTGACACAAAATCTAGATGACAAGATGGCCACAATCAGACATTTACTTCTATTCTATTCCACTGGAAAAGAAGATACAGGCACTTAAGAAAACCAAGGAGTTGGGACTGGGAAGGTGGCTCAGTGGTAGAGCACTTGCCTTGCATGCATGAGGCCCTGGGTTTGATTCCGCAGCACCACATAAGCAAAAAGAAAAAAGCCGGCAGTGGCACTGTGGCTCAAGTGGTAGAGCGCTAGCCTTGAGCTGAAGAGCTGAGGGACAGCGCCCAGGCCCAAAGGTCAGGCCCCACGACTGGACCTCCCCCCCCACCAAAAAAAAAGAAAAAAAGAAAACCAAGGAGTTACCTTTACAAATTATCTTTTGAAGTTATTTTTGAGAGTAACCATTATTTTTCTTTTTCTCTGGCTCTCCCTTGCTCCAAGAAAAATATAAAATCTCAAAAATTAACAGGACTGTTTCTAACCCTTTTGGAGAACTAGGGAGACCTGCTGGGGAAGAGATTGAGGGCTTGATTCTCTAGGCAGAACTAGCTGAGTGAGAGAGAAATGCTAAACTACCCTAAGTGAGCTTCTTAGACTGCCACAGATTTTTTTTTTTTGGGTCCGGTTGTGGGGCCTGAACTCTGGGCCTGGGCGCTGTTCCTCAGCTCTTCAGCTCAAGGCTAGTGCCCCACCACTTGAGCCATAGTGCCACCTACGGCTTTTTTCTTATGTGGTGCTGAGGAATCGAACCCAGGGCCTCATGCATGCAAGGCAAGCGCTCTACCACTGAGCCAACTTCCCAGCCCTGCCACAGATTTTTGATTTGATTACTCATTAATTTTGTATGTGTATGTGCTGGTACTAGGGCTTGAACTTGGGGCTCTGAGATCTCAGTCGGCTTTTTGGCTCAAGGCTGGAGTTCTACCACCCGAATGATGTCTCCTGTTCCATTGATGATTCATTAATTTTCAAGGAGAACTAGTGGGCCAGGCCATTTCTTTACCTGTTGTTGCTGCTGTTGATACATTGTGGTCTGCTGGCTGGGGAAAGGGCTGCCAGATGGGGTGCCTTGGGTGGAGAACTGATTGCCATAGGAATCATGTCTGTAGGAAGGGAGGAAGAGGATCAGGGAGGGCTAAGTCCAAGCCTGAGTATGTTGGTGTTGAGATCAGACTTCACTCACCTTTGCTGTTGCTGCTGCTGCTGCTGTGGGGGGTAGCGGCTAGGAGAATACATCCCCGAGTCTGGGGTGGAAGGCATGAGATTTGGCTGTGGGGCTCCACTGCCCATATTTCCCTCAGGACCTATTCCAGGCTCAGTCCTAAGCAAAAATGGAGAAGCAAACTGAGCATATATCATAGCTTCAGGGTACCAAGGGTGGGGTAGATGCAGGGGCTGTGCTTACCTCACTCTGTCATAAGGACCTCCATAGGGATAGTGCTGTCGTGGTCCCATAGCCACATTTCCCAGCCCAGGGCCAGTAGCACGGCTGTAAGGGTCACCCATCCCTCCGTTGGGGCCCTGCCCTGAGGACATGAAGGGATCACTCCCAGGAGCTGAGTGTAGAAAGGAAGGCAGTAAGAAAACAGGTGTGTTGGCAGACCAGGCAATTTGTACCTTGCCTTTACAAAGCTTGGGTTTTCTTCCCATTATTTTCCTGACAGATTCAAAATAAAGATCTAAAGAAGCTTAAATGAGCAAAAAGCATGTTTAAGGGTGTTGGATATCAAAGAAAGGAAAAAGAAAAGAGAAGAAGTATGGATGAAGGGAGTGATTAGATGAAGGAATACTGTCAGGAATACATTATTTCAGAAGCTACCTGGAGATTATCCTCTTACTCCCTGCACAAGGTCAATCGTAACTGGTCACCTTTTCTCATGCTGCCGTAAGGATCCTTATTTGGCTCATAGGACATGCGCCCCATCATGTCAGAGGTATTCATACTGGGCTGGTACCCAGGGTTTGGAGTCATGGAATTCCGCTTCTGGAATGTGGGGTCACTTCCATCAGGAAAGGCATCCTGGATCCCGACAGAATTGCTCCTGCTCCGAAGTGAGGAAAACAAATTAAATCTCAAAAAGATAAAATCCTCTGATACAAGGCACACATATCGAAGACACTGGCTGGGCAGATAGACAGCAGGGACCACCCTTGGGCTACTTAGGATTTGCAATACACACAAGTCCCCAGTATCCCCAAATCTTCTGTCCCTGCTCCTGGCCTTACCTCATGCCTGGCAAAGGGGGAATCTGACTGTGTGGTGTGGATGCTGGAGTTGGTGGCTTCAGGTCTCCTCCCTCTGCCATGGAACTGCTGGTTGACTGAGGAGTCTGTGGCCCCTGCATAGACCCTGATCCCGCTGTTAACAAAGAAACAGATGAGCAGCTTGCTTGGAAGTGTTTTGACTCTCACAGAAACATACAAATTCCCCAGGACTGCTGTCTCTCTTTGTGTTTTGGGTTTGAACTCAGTACCTTAAGCTTGGTATCCAAGTGCTCTACCACTGATCTATACCTCCAAACCTTTTTTTGCATTTATTACTTTTGACACAGGGTTTTGCTTCCAGGTGTCTGAATCTCAATTTGCCTATTTTAGGCACCACCATACTGAGAGCTGGCTCTCAGTGGATCTTAGTTGAGATGGATCTTTACAGACTTTTGTCTGGGCTGGTCTCAGATCAGGATCTTCCCAATCTCAGTCTTCCAAATAACTAGGATTTGGGCTGGGAATGTGGCTTAATGGTGGAGTGCTTGCCTAGCATGCATGAAGCCCTGGGTTTGAGTCCTTAGTTCCATATAAACAGAAAAAGCCAGAATGGTGCTGTGGCTCAAGTGATAGAGTGCTAGTCTTGAGCAAAAGAAGCCCAGGGACAGTACCCAGGCCCTGAGTTCAAGCCCCAGGAACAGCAAAACAACAACAACAACAGCAGCAACAAAACCCACAAAATTTTATAGGAGTAAGCTGTTGGAGCCATCTGTTTTTTTCTTTTGCTGGTACTGGGGTTTGAACTCAGAGAGTATTGTGAACTTTTCTACCTAGGAGATAGACCCTCGACCCTCCTGAGTAACTAATATAGGTATAAAACAATGGCATCTGGTTCTTTTCTTTTTTGGGGGACAACGTCTCAACTATGTAGCACAGGCTGGTCTTGAACTCATCATCCTCTCATGTTCCAGTGTCCCGAGTGCTGAGATGACAGGCTATGCTGTCATCACTTTGTAAACTATCTTCCTAAGGCCATTAAGGCACAGAGTACCCTTCTCAAATGAGGTGACCTGGCTAGGTGCCAGTGGTTCACACCTGTCATCCTCACTTCTCAGGAGGTTGAGATCTGAGGATTGCAGTTCAAAGCCTGCCCAGGCAGTAAAGTCCTTAAGACTCTCATCTGCAATTAACCACCAGAAAACTGGAAGTGGCACTGTGACTCAAGAGGTAGAGCACTTGCTTTGAGGTGAAGAGCTGAGGGACAGTGCCCAGGCCCAGAGTTCGAGCCCCACGGCCACCCCCCTCCTAAAAAAAGAGGTGACCTGCAAGGCCAAATCATGAAAAAGGGAATGGATTTTGACCTTCCTTGCTTTGAACATTTAGAGTGACGTGACCATGAAATCACCATAACTATGCCACTCACTTCTTGATGCATTGCCAGCTTCCCTGGCACCCCTCTTTAATTTTCCAAGGATTTGTTTAACCTATTAAGGTACTGTATTAAAGATAATGCTCCTAGTCAGAGCCTCCAAAAGCCAGGGTGGGGAGGGTCTACCTGGTCCGGTCCCTGACCTGTTGTGCAGGTTAGGAGCCTATCTATGGTGGTTCAGTTCTCAAGAACCCAGCACATCATCTTTAGGTTTGAATGGTCCTCTAAGCTGATGAGCACAACTCCTAGTAATTAACGTTTCCATTATTTACCCTTCCCAGCAGAAGATATCCCACTGCTGAGTCCTCCCCAGTTGATGAGTCATTTCAGGCACTTATTACACTCTCAGAGGTTAACATCAAGGCACATACATATGTTTATACCTACCTTCTAGGGCCCTGGCCTTTTCCCCTCTACACGTCAGCCTAAGCCCTAGCCTCCTTTCCAGAAAGGAGGATGGGCAGAAACAGTCCCATAAGAAAGTTCCATTCATGGCCCCTCCTTCCCATTCATTACCATCTCAACTCCCTGGGGGAACTTAGGGCTCTAGTCTGAGCTGCATTCTAAGGCACTGACATCAGCCTGCTGAAGTTCCCAGATGGCCCTGGCCTTACTGCTATTTGTCAGGCTTCCCTCACTCTATTGTTCTTTCCACTCACTAGTTTACAAACATTTGGCAAGATGCCAGGTGTACAATGAAAATTAAAACTTAAGAGCTGTTCTACTATAGTATCTCCCCTAAGAGAGCTGGCACTACTTGCTGTTTTGTCTGCAAACCTGCTAAGCCTTAGAGTAGGTAGGTAGGAACCAAGTTCCTAGCATCTGCTCTGTTCTCTGGAGGTAGGCCCAACTGAATGAGCCAGGCCCTTAGCCTTGGAGTTGTTAACCACATCCTTACCAGGAGAGGGAGGCTGGATCTTGGGCTGGGACTTCTTGGAATCAGCAGCTGCAAAGATGTCCGGGGGAGGGTCTTCTCCCCGTTCAATCTTGCACTCAAAGGCATAGAGACATTGGATATACTGCTTTTTTAAGGAGCTGGCAGCACTGCTTGATGTGCCCACATTGAGGTTGGTCGCAAGTTCCCGCCATTTTTTGTTCTTATTGACCTATAGAACCCACAAGAAAAGTTAGAATACATTTTCTACCTGAACTTCCTTCCTATGAGCACCAAGTTGTAAGCTGCAAGATATTTTGATCTCTTAGGGAATCACAGTCCTAGGTAACTGCAAAAATGTAACACTTTGGTGGAGAGTCCATGAAAATGTTCAGTCTGTGTCTGGCTTCACCAGGTTCCACTGACATGTTCTGCTTACTCGAAACAGGACAAATTTCCAACTATTAGAAATAGTTGTATGTATAAATGTACGTATAAATCTTGTCTGGGTTATTCTGCTTACAGCTTATGCTTTACCACTTGAGCCATACCTCCACTTTAACATTTGGCTGTTTAACTGGAGATAAGAGTCTTGAGGATTTTTCTGTCTAGGCTGGCTTCAAATCTCAATCCTCAGATCTCATTCTTCTTACAGGCATAAACCATCGACATGTGGCTGATCTTTGTTTCATGTATATGTACTGTCTGAAAAATGGTGTGCAAATCACCTGATCCAAACCTATTTTAAATGCATAAGAATGCTTATAAAATGGAGATTTGTTGTGGTAGTATCAACAATAACCCTCATTGGCTTACTTTGTCAAATTAGAGATTTTCACATCTGATCTGTTTGTCCTCAGTGTAAAGCTACTGCAAATTTAAGTCTTAGGTTGTTCTTGTATTGTAGTTATATAACTTCAGGCCCCTTTCCTGATTGATAAGTCTACATGTTTAGAGCTTTGTGACTTCTTTTTTATCTTCCTACTTCTACTTCAGGGCACATTCTCCCTACTTCTACTTCAGGGCATCTCCCAAATGTTCCATATAGTCTTCTGTGCTAGCTGGGCAGGCCACTTTATCAAGTATTCCATATATATGGTACACTTGTCCCTTAAGTGCTAGGAAAACTAGCTTTCTAGTACTGATTCACAAGAGTCAAATACCTTTGATTAGGTATCTGTGATAATATCTATTTTCCTTTCTTTTTTAGCTGCCATCACTGGGTCTTGAACTCAGAGCCTCTAGCTCTTGCTTGGCTTTTTCACTCATTCACACATCTTTATTTCCAGATTTTTGCTGGTTAATTGTAAATAACAATCTCCATCCAAGATGGAGATTGTTATCCTCATATCTCAGCCTCCTGAATTGTCAGAATAACACGTCTGAGACACTGTGATACCAGAATTTTTGTGTCAGACATGGTGCTTGAACTCTGGGCCTGGGTGCTGTCCCTGAGCTTTTCAGCTCAAGGTGAGCACTCTACCACTTGAGCCACAGCACCACTTTTGGTTTTCTGGTGGTTACTGAAGATAAGGAGTTGCAAACTTTCTTGCCTGGGCTGGCTTTGAACCCTGATCCTCAGACCTCAGCCTCCTGAGTAGTGAGGATTACAGGTTTAAGCCACTGGCACATGAGCTGAGTTATTTTTTTTGGTTGGTTGTGGGGTTTGAAAACAAGGCCTAAGCCTTGTCCCTAAGCTTTTGCGCTAAAGGCTAGTGCTCTACCACTTTGAGCCACAGCACCACTTCTGGTTTTCTTATACCATAGTTTTTTAAAAGGATGAAAATACAGCAATGGATATTTTCCCATGGTGGTGGAAATAATACACTTGTTTATAAAGTGGTGATAGCCTATGGGTATTATTCCCCACTTGTTTCCATCCCTGTGTCATACAGCTCCTTCCTCCATTTCCATATGAATTCTATTAATCCTTTAGACTCACCATTTGCCTTTTTGTAGCCAGGACTGGGAATGTGCCCTAGTGGTAGAGTGTTTGCCTAGCACACACGAAGCCCTGGGTTTGCAGTCCTTGGAATCATATTAACAGAAAAGCCAGAAATGGTGCTGTGGCTCAAGTGGAAGAGTGCTAGCCTTGAGCAAAAATAGCTCCGGGACAGTGTTCAGGCCCTGAGTTCAAGCCCCAGGACTGGCAAAACATAAAAAACAAAAATCAAACAAGCCAGGTATTGGTGGCTCACGCCTGTAATCCTAGCTACTCAAGAGGCTGAGATCTGAGATTCACGGTTCGAAGCCATCCTGGGCAGAAAGTGTAAGACTCTTATCTCCAATTAGCCACTCAAAAACCAGAAGTGGAGCTGTGTCTCAAAGTGGTAGACTGACAGCAAGCCTTGAGCAAAAGAGCTCAGGGACAGTGCCCAAGCCCTGAGTTGAAGCTCCATGACCGACCAAACACTACCCACCCCCCCCCGCCAAAAAAAAAAAAAACCCAAACTAATACGTCAATTATATCACAGCATCTCAATGGTTTGGAAACTGGAGGACAGGCCTAAGCTTGGGATTCCTTCCATACCCTACTACTCTATGTTCAATGACTCTAAAAGTCCATTCAACTTACCAACCCAATGCCCTCTTCTTACAGGCAGGACATAAGGACTCAACAGGAGGGATAAAAAAAAGCAAGAATACACCCAGCGTAACCATAGACATCTCTGACTTTGTTTCCCACACCAATTATATGGCAGTGTGGATGTACTTCATTTGGTTTTATTTTCCTTTGTGGGGGAGGGGTCTAAAGTCTGATGAAGAAAAAATTTATAGCCAACTGTTGGTTGGCTTTGTTCCAACTACTTCCCTTTCTGCTGGTGACAGCTGTTTTCCTCTTCTGCTTTAGAAAGTTTGAAGTAATTCTCTCCCTGCTGCCTCTTCTCCAACTCCAGCCACAAAGTAATCCAGGAGTGATCTGGATACTCCAGAACACACACAGGAGCAAAGTCCACAAGACAGATGGCTGTCAGAGTGACCTCATCTGTTTGTCTCCTAAGCTGAGTCTAAAATAAAACTGCATGGTACCAGGTAGACAAGGTTTGGTTCTGATATGCTTTTCTTTTTTTAATTTTAAGGAAGGATTAATTCACTTCCTTCCTTCCTTCCATATAGAGGAATCAGATGTATCTCTCCAAACTCTATACTTGCTACTATGACAAACTGCTCCAGGGAATCAGAAAGAAAATATAGTCATTATATTTGCACTGCAGTAGTTTAATTCTAGTAACTTACGCTATAAAGAAAGTCTTAGCTTCTTGTCAATAGTATGTGATCCAAGAGCTGAGAATGTTGTCCCTGTGTGATGCATGATACCACAGAAAGTCAGGCACTCACCTGAGTCAATCCACCAATTTCTTTTACTGACACATAGAGGCGGTAAAGGTCCAGAGGTTTTCTACCCACAGCAGGCAGATTTGTCATGCCCATTGCCTTTTCCTCCGTGAAGGCCAGATAACGGTCCACCCACATCTTCCTCTCAGGTTCACCACCTAGCTCATATAACTTGGTGATCTTCTCATTGGTGGTAGTAGAAGAACTGGATTTCTGAAAGGGGCAGGTGATAATGCACAGAATGCATCAAATTCAAAGCCTATGCTAAGGGTCTCATTAACCCTTGATAAAGGAAGCGGTAAAGCTTCTTGCTTGAGGGGAGCTCCACAAACTGAAGGACCAAAAGGCAGGTAGGCCTTCTTACAGTAAAGGAAGTAAGTTACTATTGACAATACGTTGTGAACTAGGAGTTGGGCTACGTGTCTTTACATATCTAGTATTAGTTTGCCCTTAGGTGTTTTTTGTTTTTGTTTTTATTGTTGGTTTTGGGGCCTGAACTCTGGGCCTGCGTGCTGTCCCTCAGCTCTTCAGCTCAAGGCTAGCTTATCACTTGAACCACAGCACCACTTCTAGCTTTTTCTGCTATGTGATGCTGAGGAATTGAACCCAGGGCCTGATGCATGCAAGGCAAGCACTCTACCACTGAGCCACCTTCCCCGCCCCCCTACCCTTAGTTTTAAACATAAGAAACCAGCCTCGAAGCTGGGTGTAGGTTGCTCATGCCTGTAATCCTAACTACTAGGAAACTGAGATCTGAGAGTTCAAAGCCTATAAGAATTTTATCCCCAATTAGTTAGCAAAATGCTGGAACTGGAAGCATGACTCAAGCGGTATAGCACCAGTCAAGTGGAAAAAAACAAGTAAGGATGCAAGGTTCTAAGTTGACGCTCTGTGTGCACTCACACACATGCACATGCCCTCTCTCTCTCACACACACACATGCATGCTCTCTCTCTCACACACATATACACACGTGCGCGCTCACACACACAACAATAACTCTTTCTTGTCTTAAGAAAGGATGGGCCAAGCATCGGTGAATCATGCCTATAATTCTACTTACTCCAGAAGCTGAGATCTGAGGATCTCGGTTTGAAGCCAGCCCAGGCAGGAAAGTCCATGAGACTTTTATCTCCAATAAACTATTCAGAAAAAGCTGGAAGCAGCACACTGGCTCAAGTGGTAAAGTGCTATCCTTGAGCACAAAGAAGCTCAGGGACAGTGTCTAGGCCCCAAGTTCAAGCCCCAGGACTGAGGGGAGTGGGGGGAAGGAGGGGAGAGGATGGGTCTCCCACTTGGTAGAAATGTTTTGGAAATTAGCTTATACAAGACAGAAGACTTAAAAAGAAACTACAGGTCAAGGGCTGGGAAGGTGGCTTAGTGGTAGAGCGCTTGCCTTGCATGCCTGAGGCCCTGGGTTCGATTACTCAGTACCACATAAAGCAAAAAGCTGGAAGTGGCACTGTGGCTCAAGTGGTAGAACACTAGCCTTGAGCTGAAGAGCTGAGGGACAGCGCCCAGGCCCAGAGTTCAGGCCCCACGACTGGACCCCCCCCCTAAAAAAAAGAAACTATAGGTCAAAGTCGCAGTAGGAGACTACGTAGGAAAGTGAGGTACTGTCTAGAACAGAAATGTTTTTTGTTTTTTTTTCTTGGTGAGCACTTTGTATGTGGGTGTGCACTGGACCAAGGGCCTGGGCTCGGTTCCTTGGCTGGCGCTCTACCAGTTGAGATACAGCTTCACGTCCTGCCTTGAGTGCTTAGTGGGAGATGAGAGTCTCCTGGACTTTCCAGCCCTGGCTGGCTTCTAACTACGGTCCTCAGATCTGACTCCTCCTGTGTTAGTTAGAATTACCAGTGTAAGCTTCCGGTGCCCGCTTTGGAGAGCAATTTTACTATTTTCTGGTAAAGTGGCAGGATCTGACCTCGTCTGCAGCAATAGAAATCTTTCTTGTTCTTTTTGTAACTTGAGGAAAACTGATGTACCCTGTAGTGGATAACTCATAAAATCTGGTGAATCAATTCTATTCTCTATCAGTAAGGTCTTGGTTACTAGTGGATCTTAGCTAAAGACACTAGGGCTAGACGTTGACTTAAAAAAAAAAAAGCTTGTAAGAGTAGAACAGAAATGTTTAAAATGACTCAAATGCTGCCACACAGCTTAACAGAGAACACACTGAAGTCCAAATTACACTGAAGTCAAGGATCCAATCCCAAAGTGCTCTCTATTCCTGTTTACAGAATACCTGGTACCAATCATTCTTGCTATGAGTAAGGAAGAAAAGTGCAACTAGTTTCTTAAAACACAGTATACGAGTACAACTCACTATCACAGAAGCATCAAACAGCACAGAGAATACTTTTTGGGGGGCAGTAATAGGCTTGAATTCAAAGAGTTTTTGTGTTTTAGCAGGTGCTTTACTGATGAGCCATGCCTCTAGCCCAGGCATGCCTATTTTAGGCTTCCAGTTGTGGCTGGGATGAAGGCGCATGCCACTGATCCCAGCTTTGGGTGAGAAGGAGTCTTATGAACATTTCTGCCTACTCTGGTCTAAAACTGGGAAACTCCCACTGTTAACCTCTCAAGTAGCTAAGATTATAGGCATGAGCCACCAGTGATAGACAGTACAAAGAATTCTAAGCTGTAGGGTCTGTTTTCTCCATAACATGCAGCTGTAAGAATGTTATTTACATCAAGATCCATTATGTTAATTCAAGTCTAATTCTATGAGCTATTCTTTGCCCATTCACTGTAAGAGAAGGCAATGCAGGCTTTTTCAGAGATTAGTGTCATAAAAACCTAAAATGTTGTCATGTTTTCTTTTCTCATCATATCATTGAAGGGGACAGGATACAAAGTTGAAAGGAATCAAGTCAAGATCATTACCTTGGATTTAGATTCTGTCTTGGGTGTCCCATCTGCCTTGTTGTTCATTTTGGTAGCTGGAGTTAACTTGACATCCCCAAGGCCCATCATCTCTGGGCTGGCTGCCATCCCTATCATAGAGAAAAAAATAATCAAAATCCAAGATGCAACTTTAAAGACCACTCCTGAAAAACTGCCTGAGGTAAGCAGTGACTTGAATTCACCTGCTGAATTGTTGGCCATGGTTCCACCCATGGGATATGGGGGTCCCTGTGGGTTGATCATGCCAGCCATGCTATTGATCCCTTGTCCATAGGGAGGTCCAGTTCCCATCATGCTCCCTTGATTCATATTGGGATAGCCTGGTGGCCTGGGGAAGAAGATGGAAATTAAGAAAAGGGTTAGAGAAACTGAGCTTTCTTTCAGATTTGAATATGAGCTAAAAATAATGTTATACGACCACTTTAGTTAGGTTTAAAGAGAAAATGTTTATGGGTCTCTCAAATTAAAAGTGAGCAGCACCTAGATAATCTTATGTTCTTCCACTTTCACAATACATTCTATGAGGATCTGAACTCTTTTTTTTTTGTCGGTCGTGGGGCCTAAACACAGGGCCTGGGTGCTCTTGAGCTCAAGGCTAGTGCTCTACCACTTGAGCCACAGCGCCACTTCCGGCTTTTTCTGCTTATGTGGTACTTAGGAATCGAACCGAGGGCTTCATGCATATAAGGCAAGCACTCTACCACTGAGTCACCTTTCCAGCCCCAAGATCTGAACTCTTTATAGCAAACATTAGTCAATTTTGAGGGGCACAGTCCTTAAAGAAAAGAGACCTATTGTGTCTTTCTTAAGGACCATCTTCCTCCAAAGTTAAATTATATTTACATTTAAAAGCCCAATCTAGTAAAACACTCAATTATATCATTTATGTCATGGAAAACACAAACCAAACTGTACTTAGGACAGAGCTGTGCCTTCTCTTATTTTCTTCCTCCCACTCTCTTTAATACAGGTTCTTGCTGTAAAGCTGGCTTTGAACCATGAATCTTCAGATCTCAGCCTTTTAAGTATCTAAAATCACAGGCATGAGCTACTGATGCCCAGCTATGAAGGTCTTTAGTAAGATACTTGGCTTGTGAAACAATACTCTGTTAAAGAATCAACACTTAATGTGTTTCTTCTTCTTTTTTTTTTGTCAGTTGTAGGGCCTGAACTCTGGGCTTGAGCGCTGTCCCTCGGTTCTTCAGTAAAGGCAAGCGCTCTACCGCTTGAGCCACAGTGCCACTTCCAGTTTCCTAGGGGTTTACTGGAGATAAGAGTCTCATGGACTTTCCGGCCCGGGCTGGCTTTGAACCGAGACCCTCAGATCTCAGTCTCCTGAGTAGCTAGGATTACAGGTGTGAGCCACCGGCGCCCGGCTCTTATTTTTTATACTCTAAGAAAATACAGTTTTCTGGGCTGGGAAGGTGGCTCAGTGGTAGAGCGCTTGCCTTGCATGCCTGAGGCCCTGGGTTCGATTCCTCAGCACCACATAAGCAAAAAGAAAAAAGCTGGAAGTGGTGCTGTGGCTCAAGTGGTAGAGTGCTAGCCTTGAGCTGAAGAGCTGAGGGACAGTGCCCAGGTCCAGAGTTCAGGCTCCACGACCGGACCCCCCGCCCCCAAAAAAAGGAAATACAGCTTTCTAAAGAACTCTCAATAAAATGACACCTACTAGTTGCACATATATACCTACAACTTAGGCCCAGAAGCATCACAACAACTTTAACATTTAATATAACATTTCATTTCCTGGACATTCTCTTCATGCCCCAGGCCTTACCTGTTTTGTATAGAATTGGCAGCAACATGCATGGCGACAGCAGATTCTTGAGTTTTCCGGTTCATGCCCCCTGGAGGGGGACACATCCCAGACCCAACCTGAGGTGGCATATTGGCCATATTAGGACCATAAGGCCTGTTACCCATTGAGGCATGACTCATTCTCCCTGGAGGGAGAGTGCCATAAGGTGGGATACCAGGCTGCCCATGCATTTGACCTCCAGCACTCATGGGATTCATGCTTCCAGCCATGCCTGCATTGGGGTAGTTGGCATTGGGCAAGGCATTATAGTTTGGCTGCCTGGGGTAACCTCCTGGAAAGAGAGGGAGAGAGGATATAAGACTTGGTTAGTGACTGACTACCAATTAACTAATACCTCTCAACTCTAAAACTTCAAATAACAAGACCCAGTCAATATTTTTGCCAGGAAAGAGAACAATTTTTTGAGTGAATGGGAGGCTAGAGGCATGTCAAAGCAGGCCTCTGTTAGCTCTTCACCCACTTTATTTTTTTGTGGTATTGGGAGAATATGTCCAGGACCTTGTGCTGGGCAAATGCTGTACATAACTCTGAGACACTGTTTCTACCCTTCTTATCTTAAAGAAATCACCACATAACAAACTCTCATGGCCAATTATCAGTGTAATTATTTCCTCATCACTTATTTATCCTGCATTCTATCCTATGTCCCCCCTCCCCCTCCCTCCCGTTGTGGGGCTTGAACTCTGAGCCTGGGCGCTTTCCTGTGCTCTTCAGCTCAAGGCAAGAGCTCTACCATATGAGCCACAGCGCCACTTCCAGTTTCCAGTGCTCTACCGTATGAGCCACAGCGCCACTTCCAGTTTTCTCTTATTGGAGATAAGAGTCTCTTGGACTTTCCTGCCTGGGCTGGCTTTGAACCATGATCCTCAGATCTCAGCCTCCTGAGGAGCTAGGATTACAGGCGTGAGCCACCAGCGCCTGACTTCTATCCTATGTTCTATGCAAGGTATTCTACTTCAGATCTATTATGGCTGGTTTTTAAGAAAAACAAGATTTATTCTCTCTCTCTCTCTCTCTCTCTCACACACACACACACACAGACTAGGAAGTTGGCTTAGTGGTAAAGTGCTGGCCTAGCATGCATAAAGCCCTGGGTTTGATTCCTCAGTACCACATAAACAGAAAAAGCCAAAGGTAGCACTGTGGCTCAAGTGGTAGAGAGTACACAGAGGCTCAGGGACAGAACCTAGGCCCTGAGTTCAAGCCCCTTCTCTTGACAGCAGAAGAGCTGAGGACCAAAAAAAGTCAAAATGGTGAATTTTATGTTATTTGTATTTTAACACACACACACACACATTTATGAGACAGTAACAGAGGCAGAGTGTGTGTATACGTGGTGTGTTGGGTGCTAGTGGCTCATGTCTATAAGCCTAGCTACACAGGTGGCTGAGATCTAAGGATTGAAGGTGAGAGCCAACTAGGGAGACAGATTCTAGACTTGATCTTCAATTAACCAGTTTTAAAAAAATAGCTAGAAGGGCCGGGCGCTGGTGGCTCACGCCTGTAATCCTAGCTACTCAGGAGGCTGAGATCTGAGGATTGTGGTTCAAACCCAGCCCGGGCAGGAGAGACCGTGAAACTCCTATCTCCAATAAACCACCAGAAAACCGGAAGTGGCGCTGTAGCTCAAGTGGTAGAGTGCTCGCCTTGAGCTGAAGAGCTGAGGGACAGCGCCTAGGCCCAGAGTTCAAGCCCCACGGCCGAAAAAAAAAAAAAAAAAAAAAGCTAGAAGGGCTGGGAAGGTGGCTCAGTGGTAGAATGCTTGCCTTGCATGCCTGAGGCCCTGGGTTCGATTCCTCAGCACCACATAAAGCAAAAAGAAAAAAGCTGGAAGTGGCGCTGTGGCTCAAGTGGTAGGGCGCCAGCCTTGAGCTGAAGAGCTGAGGGACAGCACCCAGGCCGAAAGTTCAGGCCCCACGACCGGACCAAATAACAAAACAAAAACTAGAAGTAGAGGAATGGCTCAAGTAGTAGAGTACCAACCTACTTGCTAAAAAAAAGCTAAAGGACAGCATGTAGGCTCTGAGCTCAAACCTCAGTACCAGCACCAAGAAAAAGTAATGATCAATATCTACTCTACCATCTATTAGGCATCTGTGCTCAGTTATGAGGTAAAAACCTTAGTTCTACTTTACAAATGAAACAGGGGCTCATCATTGGAATTCAAAGACATTCCCATTGTGACAAAAATAAGAAAGATAGAACTCCAACCTGTCCTACTTTAGGGTATAGACTGAGGAGATTTTAAGGTAAAGGAGAGTCTTTTTTTTTTCTTCCTTTTTTTGCTGGTCCTAGGACTTGAACTCAGGGCTTGGGTGCTGTCCTTAATGCTTCACCATTTGAACCACAGCTCCACTTCCGCTGTGTGTGTATGCGTTTAATGGGAGATAAGAGTCCTGCCAATTTTCCTGCCTAGGTGGCTTCAAATCATAATTCTCAGGTATCAGCCTCGAGAGTAGCTAGGATTACAGGTATACACTACTAACATGACTTAGTCTTACATTTATAACTTAGGTGTTAGAAATAAGAAAGTCAAAACAGTTCCTAGTTCTGTACATACTCACCTTGTGGGCCATACTGACCCCCTTGGGGACCGTAGCTCCCCATGGAGTTCTGCTGGTAGGAGCCCATGCCTGTGTGCATCTGTCCTCCAGAAGGCTGACGTGGAGATAAGGCCGAGCCGGGCTGGGGGGAACTGTATTGGGGCATCTGAGGGTTCCTCTGCATATAACCTATTTGAGAGTAGTATCCATAAAGTTATTTGCTCAGTACAATGGGAACAAAGGATCTCCCATCTACACTGAGACCTCATTTTCTACATTTTCTTTAGTAGCTATTTGCATGGAGTCTCTACCTAGTTTGCTATATATAGCTATGAACCCTTTTAGACACCCCATAAATGATATACCACTAAGATAGGGCACACTGTCATACTAAATCAAGGTTTAAAAGGATAAAGAGCAATGACAAAAAATAAAATGACCAATGATTCAGTGAGTGACAAGTCAATGCTGAAGCCAGGCACTGGTGGTTCATGCATGTAATCCTAGCTACATAAAAGGCTGAGATCTTAGGATCACGGTTCAAAGACAGTACTGACAGGAAAGGCCGTGAGACTCTTATCGCCAATAAAACACTCAGAAAACCAGAAGTGGTATAGTGGCTCAAGTGGTAAAGCACCAGCCTTGAGCTAAAGAGCTGAGGGACAGCGTTCAGGCCAAGAGTTCAAGCTCCATGATTGACCCCCACCCACCCCTCCAAAAAAAAGTTAAGGCTGAATCTTCAGAAATTGCTGGCCAAATTAGGAGAATCTATCTAATATAGGTAAGCACGGAGAAAGAATGACTATTAGGGAGTGCAATTTAAAAGCCATCAAAATGGCCAAGTCCACTCTAGCTCCACAACTTGCTGCTGGGATCGTCCTAACTTTACAGTCAGACAGTTCTCCAAGATGTCACACTGGGAACTCAAGGATCTGCTTTAATCCTCTGCTCCAACCCCCAAAACCCAGGTTCTCACCTCGATCTTGGGCAATGCTTGATTGGTTCATGGAAGGATGCATGATGCTGTCTGACTGGCCACTGGGTGGCCGAGGTGGCATCTGGTTGCCTGTTCCAGAAAGAAAGTAAGCAAGCCATGGCTCCTTGGGAGGCCAGCCATCTCCTATATACAGTGAGATATCCAGCCAGGGGGTTTCCACCCTACTCCAAATGCTATGGGGAACCAATGCAAATACCAACTAGGGCTCACTGGTATCACTGGGACAAGTCAACTTTTCCCTTTTCCCAAAGACCAGCACTTGAAGGTACCTGGCACTGCAGCAGGCGAGAGTGGTCCTGAGCGAGACTGAGCAACACTGGCAGGAGAGCCAACAGGGGAAGGGGAGGGGCCTCGGATGCCAGGAAGGTGAGGGGAGGTATGAGGCGAGAAAGGAGACTGAGCTGGGTTGCTCTGCTCTCCTTGGCTGCTGGAAATCCCTGATGTGCTCACTCCAGGACTCAGAGCTCCTTCTGTCCCCATGGGGAGATCATCTATTGAACCAGATAGATCCTGAAACACATAAGAACACTGATTAATGAGACAGATTCTTCAAAATACTACTATATACTTAAAATTTCCCTTAAATAACCAAGAACACACAACAGAACTTTAGTCATAAAACTGTCAGGGACCAGAGAGAAATACAGACTTTGTGGAACATACAAGTCTTGTCAAAACTACTGAATTCTGCTGAGACTGAGGCAGAAGGAGCCTGAGTTTGAGGCCAATCTGGACTATGTAGCAAGCCCTTGCCTTAAAAAAACCAACTGCCGGGTGCTGGTGGCTCACGCCTGTAATCCTAGCTACTCAGGAGGCTAAGATCTGAGGATCATGGTTCAAAGCCAGACCAGGCAGGAAAGTTCATGAGACTCTTTTGTTTTGTTTTTTTTTTTTTGGGTCCGGTCGTGGGCCCTGAACTCTGGGCCTGGGCACTGTCCCTCAGCTCTTCAGCTCAAGGCTAGCGCTCTACCAATTGAGCCACAGCGCCACTTCCGGCTTTTTTTCTTTTTGCTTATGTGGTGCTGAGGAATTGAACCCAGGGCCTCAGGCATGCAAGGCAAGCACTCTACCACTGAGCCACCTTCCCAGCCCCCTTCATGAGACTCTTATTTCCAATAAACTACTAGAAAACTGGAAGTGGCGCTGTGGCTCAAATGGTAGAGTGCTTGACAGCACCCAGGCCCAGAGTTCAAGCCCCACCACTGACAAGAAAAACAAAACACAACAAAAACTCAACTAACTAAACAACAAAAAAATCTACTTTTAGTGCTAAAGTAGCCACAAACTATGTTTTTTTCCTCTCAGTGTTGGGGTTTGAACTCAGGGCCTGGGCACTGTCCCTGAGCTTTTTTGTGCTCAAGGCTAATACTCTACCACTTGAGCCACAGTGCCATTTCTGGTTTTTGAGTGGCTAATTGGAGATAAGAATCTCACAAAGGACTTTTCTGCCCAGGCTGGCTTCGACCCTCAATCCTCAGAAGTCAGCTTTCTTTATTAAAATTTTCTTATTTTTTTAAAAAAAATTTTATTGTGCAGAAGTCAGCTTTCTGAGTAGCTAGGTTATAGGCGTGAACCACCGGTGCCCAGTACCACAAAAGGAGTGTGGTTATGTCCAGTAACTTTGTAAAAACAGGTAGCTGACCCCATATGCCAGTAAGAACTGGTAAAGATATAGAACTTTCATCTTTCCTAGTCCTAACTTTAATCATAAAAAAGCAATTACTTCAGTGAAATTTTATTTTTTCCAAAGCAGGTAATACAAATATGCCGTAGGATGGTAACTAAAGCTTTAACAAAGTGTTAACAAGCTAGGCTAAACATTTGGAGATGCCCTCTACTTCATTACCTACCTCCATTTACCAAAGTATCTGCAATGTAAGAGGGAGGAGGCAAAGCCAGCTTGTGGTGGCTTATGCCTATAACCTTAGCTATTCAGGAACAGAGATCTGAGGACTGTGGTTCAAACCTACCATGGGTAGGAAAGTTCATTAGACTCTTAATCTCCAATTAACATCAAAAAGCCAGAATGGAAGCTGTGGGTCAAATGGCACAGGACAAGTCTTGAGTGAAAAAGCTAAGAGACAGGTCCAAGGCCCTTAGTTCAAGCCCCAGTGCTAGCCCAAAAAAGTGAGTTTTTTTTTTGTTTTTTTGATATAAAAGGACAAAATTTCAATACAACAGACAATTTCTTAACTTCCAAGAAGGTCTGGGACTATACTTTTATTTGAAGGGTTGTTTTATCTTGAATTAATCAGTAAAGATTGTTCCTGGTTAGTTAACCCCTGGATTAGCAATAAGAATGAAAAATACTCAATATGAAAAGTATTCAAATCCTGGTGCCAGTAGCTCAGGCCTATAATCCTAGCTACTCAGGAGGTTGAGATCTGAGGATCTTGTTTCAAAGCCAGTTGGGGCAGGAAAATCTGTGAGACTTTCCTGAGGCTTGAACTCAGGGCCTAGGGACTACCCTGAGCCTCTTTGTGATCAAGGCTAGCGCTCTACCACTTGAGCCACAGCACCACTTCCAGGTTTTTCTGAGTAGTTTATTAGAGATAAAAGGCTAATGGAAGCCGGGTGCCTCACAGTGGCTCACACCTGTAATCCTAGCTACTTAGAAGGCTGAGATCTGAGGATTGCACTTCAAAACCAGCCTGGGCAGGAAAGTCTGTGAGACTTTTATCTTCAATTAACCACCAGAAAAACTGGAAGTAGCGCTATAGCTCAAGTGTCAGAGCACTCCCCATGGAGCTGAAGAGCTTAGGCACAGTGCCCAGGCCCAGAGTTCAAGTCCCATAACTGAAAAAAAAAAAAAAAGTCTCATGGACTTTCCTGACCTGATGGCTTTAAACCTGCAATCCTCAGATCTCAGCTTCCTAAGTTGCTAGGATTATAGGCATTACAGCCCAGCTCCTTGAGATTTTTATCTTCAATTAGCTACCTGAAAACCAGCTGTGGCTCCAAGTGGTATAGTGCTAGCTCTTGAACAAAAGAGCTCAGAGACAAGCCGGGTGCTGTAAACCTAGCTACTCAGGAGGCTGAGATCTGAGGATCACAGTTCAAAGCCAGCCAAGGCAAGAAAGTCCGTGAAACTCTTATCTCCAATAAACAACCAGAAAACCAGAAGTGGCGCTGTAGCTCAAGTGGTAGAGACTAGCCTTGAGCTGAAGAACTGAGGGACAATGCTCAGGCCCAGAGTTCAAGCCCCACGACCGACATTTAAAAAAAAAAAAAGCTCAGAGACAGCACCCAGGCCTTGAGTTCAAGTCCCATGTCCAAAAGAAAGTTTTCTTAAATTCTATTCCTACATACAAAATGAGCTTGCCTTGGAAAGATCAGTTCAAAATGAGCCTGACAATAATAGTACTAGAAGTCAAAGGACCCAATTTTAGGTACTTCATCATTTAGTTACTTACCTAGGCTGGAAGCATTCTGCTGAGTTCTATGACTTGCTCTAAAGGAAAGGTAGGTAGATAATATGTATGTGTTCTGGTACCCAATTTTCAATGTTAAAAAAAAAAAATCAGACAATGCTAGCTTTCTTGCTGATAGAGCAGAGCTGGTATAACTAAAGCATATTTTAAAAATGCAACTAGAACACAGTGAGACCAAGGAGGACACTCTTAGGAGAGGAATAGAAAGGCACAATGCGTATGTCTATATGATCATACAAAATTATATTCATGAAAATGAACTCCAGGAAATGACAACAAAAGATTTTTTCTTTTTTGCAGTTTTTGTTCTTTTTGTTCATTTATATGTCTTTGGGAGTGTAAGGAGAGGCACACAAAATGAAGGGACAAAGGGAACAAATGCAGCAATGGTACTCACTGAACACTACATTGAAAATGAACTATACAACTTGAGGGACAGGAGGGAAAATAAATGGGAGAGTGAGGAAAGGAGTGACATTGTCCAAAAAGAAATGTACTCTTTTTTTTTTGCTTTCTTGGTCAGTCATGGGGCTTGAACTCTGGGCCTGGTGCTATCTCTCAGCTCTTCAGCTCAAGGCAAGCATCTTTACCACTTGAGCCACTGAAGACCATCAAGAAATGTACTCTTTATGTGACTTATGTAACTCCACTGTACATCACCTTTGTTTTTTTTTTTTTTGTCGGTCATGGGGCTTGAACTCTGGGCCTGGGTGCTGTCCCTGAACTCTTCAGCTCAAAGTGAGTGCTCTACCGCTTGAGTCACAGTGCCACTTCTGGTTTTCTAGTGGTTTATTGGAGATAAAGAGTCTCATTGATGTTCCTGCCCGGGCTGGCTTTGAACCGTGATCCTCAGATCTCAGCCTCCTGAGTAGCTAGGATTACAGGCGTGAGCCACTGGTGCCTGGCTGTACATCACCTTTATAATAATAAAAACAATTTTAAGTCAGGCACCAGTGGCTCATGGCTATAATTCTAGGTACTCAGGAAGCTAAGATCTGAGGATCATAGTTCAAAGCCAGTCTGGCCAGGAACTCCATGAGACTCTTATCTACAATAAACCACTCATTAGACTGGAAGTGGCGCTGTAGCTCAAGTGGTAGAGTGCTTGCCTTGAGCTGAAGAGCTGAGGGATAGTGCCCAGGCCAAGAGTTCAAGACCCACAAGTGACCAAAAAAGCAGAAAAGGGAACCAAAGCCAACCACTAGATAATGCCAAAGGATGGAGCTCTTCCGTGTCAAAAGAGAGCAGACTCAAAAGAGATAATATGATGATAAGAGGAACAAGCTACACAGGTCCCAAAAAGTTTCAAAGGTATTTGTTAGACCTTGGAGTCTGTAGTAGATAAAACCCAAGGCTCAATGCCTAGTCTTTTTTTTTTTTTTTGGTGTGGGGCCTGAGCTCTGGACCTGGGTGCTGTCCCTCAGCTCTTTAGCTCAAGACTAGCACTCTACCACTTGGGCCACAGCACCACTTCTGGCTTTTTTCTGCTGATGCGGTACTGAGGAATCGAACTCAGGGCCTCATGCATGTGAGGAAAGCACTCTACCACTGAGCCACCTTCCCAGCCCCTCAAAGCCTTGTCTTTGGCACCAGTAGGTTTCCCTTCATTCACTCCTTCCTACTGTATCTGTTTCTTGTTAAATTATCAGTTTCTGGTAAAAAGAGCATGGTGTATTTTGAAGCAGAGTAGGAATCAAGAATTCATCTAGGGGGCTGGGAAAGTGGCTCAGCGGTATAGTGCATGCCTTGCAAGCATGAGGCTCTGGGTTCGATTCCTCAGCACCACATAAACAGAAAAAGCCGGAAGTGGCGCTGTGGCTCCAGTGGTAGAGTGCTAGCCTTGAGCTGAAGAGCTGAGGGACAGTGCCCAGACCCAGAGTTCAGGCCCCATGACAGGCAAAAAAATTAAAAAAAAAAAAAAAAAAGAATTCATCCAGAACACGAGAGTTCAAATAGATTTGAACTCATTTCAAATGCTTTTTTTTATTAGGTAAAGACATTTCAGATAATTCAGGTAAAGCCAAAGTTCTAGACTGTCTTTATACTACCCTTAATGGAACTCCTGTTCAATCT